CCCCAAAACCCCAAAACCCCAAAACCCCTGCAAAATTATAAATATTGAGACTAAATATACAGGACTATTATTTCTTATGACGCTTGATTTTCAGATCTTTCTTTTGAGATAGCCTGTTGATGTATGAGGACAGCTTTTTCACAGAGAAAAAGTCATTAGATTTCTCATTCTTGAACATATCTGCGTTAATAATGTTCTTTCGTAACAACCCTTCGAGTGTGCTGTGCAAAATTGACATCTTTTTGCGAGGCTTAGTTATTTTATTAGTCAATTTTAGGTTCTTTATGCCATATTTTTCCTGAATTGCGTCTAAAATAGTTGTGTGAATTAGTACCTATTTGATCATTGAACTCCTTTTTAGTCTCGAGGAAACTTAACCTGGGGGCTTCGTAATTCGCCAATAATGATGTCTTGGAATCTTCTTTAAGTAATTCCTCTAGAGAAAATAAGGATGTATCAATACTTTTCCTCCATGAAGTGGGTGAGATTCTCGAGCTTTCAAAATTATCCTTTAGAGATTCCATTTTCTCTGATATACTAAGCTTATTTTTGACATTCAGCGGCTAGAATTCTGAGATTGGCTAATTACTTTCTTAATTTTTCATTTGATGTGGCTTTTATAATGCAATCTATCTGTATCTATTGTTCAATTAACTCCTTCACTCATCTAAAGAATAAAGTGTATTCTTGCATTTAGATCCTTCTCCAAGTTTTTCTGAGTCAGTACTGGCAATTTTATGGTTGAATAGGAGTTGTTCTTGACCAATATGGTATCTTTTCCATTGCTTTCAATCCCTATCGGAGAGTGTTCATCTAAAAATACTTTAAGAAATCTTACTCCTCGTTTTAGATGAATTAAAATTTGGGATCATTTGATCGATATTTTCTCCTGAAGAAACAGAACTACTTCAGTCTTCCATTATTTTTACGTTTATTCTATCTTCAGGATATAGGAGAGTCTTATTCTGAGGATTAAGGGCATCCTAGATAGGTTATCTCAGTTTATTACTGCAGTCATGCTTTGATTTACGAATTTATTAATATTTGGGATTGAGCCTAGTGAACTATTTCTGGGTGAGTTCTTCAAACTCAAATGTTTGCTCTATAAATATCCTAATAAAGCATACGGTGAGTGGTACATTAGCTCTTCTGAATCTCTCGAAACTTCTTAACGCATTCAATATTTGAGATTTTCTTGGGTTTCGATCATAAGTTCCTTCTCCATGATAATTTTTCATATCAAGCCCAAACTTGATTTTGATATATTCTTGAAAATGGTGCTCTTGGCTAAGACTTGTGCCTTCTTTGAGGTCCATGCCTAGTTCCTGCTTCTCTTTCAAAGAGGGAAGGATCAAGTCAGTGTGCTTTTTCAGTTGTTGGAGAACTTTAATATGGGAGGGAGGAAGGTCTCATTTGTTTCTTTTTGCCTTATTTCTTCTTCATTACCACTAGAGTCCTTAATCTATAATACTTACATTCAGCATTCTTTCGATTGGTTAAAATTATTTTAGAGTTCCTAATAAACTTCTTTTTGAGGACTGTTTTAGCAGGTGTTTTACAAGCCTCAGCCTCTTTGTTCTGACTGTATCTATCAATGCACTCAATGAAGGACTCTCTAATTGTCCGAGGAACCTTTCGGACCTTCTTATTGTATATTTCTTGGGAGGTAGATCTAAGGGCTGGTTAAAGGAACAAGATTGCTAGCTTTCGAATATTTCATTACTTATCCCTTATGTTAAAGAAAATTTCTTTATCTTCCTTATTCTTACTAAAGATCTAGCTATTTGATATAAAGAAGATCTATAAACATCATCCTAAATAAACTACTCTTGATTTCCTTTCGTGCATTTGGTATTTTCAGAATATTCTCACTGAAGTTTTTATTTGTCCAGAACATGCACACGAGCTGAGATAAACTAGACTCATCAAATATGACTAATTTGAAACACTAGATCATTTTGGAAAAAGTTTAGTAAACTATCATAGTTTTTAGTGGTACTAAAGTATAGATGGAGCCACTTAGATGTGGATTATTACCGATTATTTGTTCTTTCCATATTACTTTAATAAATTTAGATTTTTCATTTTAGAAGGAGAATATTGGGGTTTTGGGGTTTTGGGGTTTTGGGG